AAAAGGAAAAATTCTTTGCTCAATCTTTTGCTGGGAACTAGAAATACCCTTCGGTGCATGTCGCCTAATTGAGGCTGCTCTGCTTCTGGTCCACAGCAAGCACTAGGTGGCAGCTTCGGATCGTGTTTGTAGCATCCCCTTTCCCCGGCAGCTCTGCCTCATTGCCCTGCCGAATAGCAAAGGCTGGATGTCTGCCACCCCTACTGCTACCTAAACATTCGAGCATTATGGAGCTCAGTGGCTAAGGACAAGCAAGGACATGGCTAATCCGTTCTGCTGCTGCACAGCTCGAACTTCTGTCCGTGCTGCCTCTGTAAAATAAATTCTTGGGGATATTCCTGGAATGCTCAACACAAGACTTGGGAGTTGTTAATTTTGAGGTTTTGTGACGTTTCCTGAATAAGTGTTGCAACTATTGCATCCTCAGGATAACTTGGGACATCTGAAAACTAAAGCTTGATGGTGACACTTCCAGGTCTATGCATGAAGCTAGTGGCAGCATTACCCATACCTGTGTGGACAGGAACAGTGCAAAAAGGCTGAAAGGTTTCGCAGCATCTGCATATCTTAATTAGAAAAGTACCTCTTTTTTTCCCTATCCAGTTGCTGTAGTTTAGCAGCTGTTTATCTTACTACCATATGGGGAGATTCAGGGATTTCTGCTGTGAGGCTTCTAGCTAATAAGCAGATTGGGGATATATATGCAATGAGATAAAGTATTTGACGTTCACTTTTTTAAAGCATTTTTGAAGGCTGATGGAGAGCTCTGTAGTTAATCCAGGAGATCTCTTTGCATCTTTGCCGCTTAAATTTAAACAACTGTGTGTCAGTTAAAGAGCAAAGGGCTGAAGAGACTATACTTCACTACCACCTGGAGAGATGTGATACCTGGAAATGGTTCTGATGAGCTGGCACAGGAACGCAAAATGCTTCTTTGTCCTCAAGCAACCTCTTTGCAGGCACCTAACAGGTCAGAAAGGGCTGGGGAGGGTGGTAGTTATGAGGTGTGAAGCACTGTTGGTGATGTGCTGAGGAAGTGTGCTTTGGGGGTTAATTTAGAGTTGGATCATGCTCATGTATTTAGCGTGAGCTGTCAGACCTGCAAGGTGAAACAGCACCAGGTTCTCATAATACAGATCTTGATAAATGGGTGCTGGTGTCTGCAGCAGGCTGTGTGGGCTGCACAGCTGAGTTCTTACAGATATTCATTTTCCTTTTTCCTCTATTTGTTTTTTTTTTTTTTTTTTCTCTCTCCAGGGCAGTCTTTAAAACTGTGGTCCATCTCCAGGCTTCTTATGCTCGCCCTCTCTCCACATTGTGAACCTTCTTTGGTTATTTATTATCAATAAATGAATATACAACCTGCAAACCTGCTCAAGATCTGGACTTCAGATGCTTCAACTCTGAGCTTTCCAATTCCTCCTGCTTGCTGCAGCATTCCTGATATTTTGGCCTTAGGGATGTGTTAAATGGGGGGGGGGGAGTGTGTGACTCATGCAGTTCCTATGCTCCTGAATACTTTCATTTTTAAAACTAAGCTGGTAAGGTTTGGTTATGGATCTTTCCTGATGTGGGCAGAGAACCAAAGGTACCAGTATTTCGCTCCTTGTCCATGAGGGGGTAATTGCTGTTCTTTGCAAATTCAGCCAGTGTTGTATCAAGCCCAGACCTCAGTTCTGTAACAAGCCTTCCATGAGGTCATTGCTGGCAGTTCCTGCAGCCCCATCAAGCACAGCTTTGCAAACCAGCAGGTAACAGGTGATGACAGTGACAAAACTGCGTGGGGAGGGAGAAACTTCCTGAGCAGTTTCAAAGGTGTCTGAGAAATGCACCAGGGCAGCTGCCATTTACTGTTGATTTGGCTGCGTCACCACTTTTCTTTCTCTTGACAAATGTCAAGGGCCAACAGTGCTCATCCATCTTTAAAGCAACTGGATGTGCTGCTGGGGCTTCTGGTTTCCATACGGAGAGGTTTCATGTTCAGTCATGACCCACAGTATGGCAAATGGCTCTTCCTTAATGCCCAGCAGGTATTAATGGGTTGCCAGATGGGATCTGGGGGAGGCTTTGGCAAACAGTGGCAGCACGTGTATTTCAGGTGGGGGGAGCTGGGGCCCCTTTTTCCATAGGCAGGTCCACACAAAATGGTAGGCAGGCTGTATAAAAAGTTTGAAATGGGAAGTGCTCAAGATGTAAAGGAGGACTCCAGCAAAAGCAGTGCCCTCTTTAATCCTTGAAGTAGTCTGTGGGATTTTGCTAGGCATCTTCTAAGCAGGAAGGGTGAAAAGGAAGAAACCATGGCTTCTCCGGTTTGAGAACAAAACCACAGTCAGAAGCAGGGTGGGAAAAGCCTAAGTCGTCTTTAGTTTTTATATGAGAATCTAAATGCCAGGCATTAAAGCAGCTTAGAGCAATCTGATTTCTTTGGTCACCAGTGTGTGACGGTGTGAAGCCTGTTTGTAAACAGGCTGTGGTTCCTGCCTGTGCTGCTTACTCCGGGGTTAATACAGGGCACAGATGTGTTTGAAAAGTGGAGCTAATAAATAGTTCCCTCGCTGGTGAGTGCTGCCTGCAGAAAGGAGAACACAAAATCACTCATCTAAAGGAATAATTTTCCAGTTTCTTGGTGCCAGTGTTTGATTCATTTACTAATATGAAGAACGGCAACTCCTCCCTCTACTCCCAGTAATAACCATTGGGACTTTAAATTTGTGCTAATGGGTTATTAATCCAATTACTGCTGCTCATTATGTTACTTCTGTATCATCCGCATGCAGTTTTGCTGTTCAGTTGAAGTGAATGGTATAAATACAAAGCTCTGAGCAGACTTTAGAAGATACCAAAACCCCACTGAGATTATCAATCTTGAAATGGTTGTCTTGGGTTCCTGAGGACTGTTAATTAATATGCTAAGGTTTATTATATGGTTGAAGCTTAAAGATACTGTTCTGGAGGAAGGGGAGGAAACCTCCCTGGAGCTGCTGGGTGTAACAACTCACACTTAATGGAAGTGGGAGTGCTTCAAAAGGAACTGAGATTTGGTATGAAGTCCGTGGGATGTACACAGGCCACAGGTAGGGCTCGAGTGACAGAAACAGTCTGTAGGCTTTTTCATTTATTCTGCAGTCACCCAAGCTTCTGTCTTTGTCTTTAACAATTTCTAAATCCATCAGGCAGCTTCAGCTTTGTTAACACGAGACAGTCATGTTCACAGAACTGGCAAGCACCTGGTCTATTAGTTAGCACATTCATCTGCAGAGATCTCAGTGAGGCAGCGAGAAGCCTATATGCAGCCTGTGTTGTCCAGAACACAAGTCCTACTTATTTGCAATGACTTGTAGTGTATTTTGGTCAAGGTCTCCAGAGCACACAGACCTTCTGGAGTTCACTCTGCTCTGGGATTGTTTTTAGGAACAGATTTCTCTGAGGCTGCTTGGCCTGTGTTGACAGACAGCTTTGTTCCTTCAGTTTCCTTCAATCCACGGGAGCTGAGCGGGTGTTAGATCACAGCAGTGAGAGCTGATCTCCATTAATGATTTAAATCTTCTGATTTAACTCAGAAATTCTGAGTTTAAGAGCTGTGACCCTGGATTTATCTCAGTATAACGCACCAGAATTTCTCCCTCCCCCGTGTAACACAAAGAGCCTCAATGCAATTTGAGTCACTGATAGAGAAATGCAGTGGGAATGGGTTGGGATCAGTCTCAAGGCTAAAAATGAGTGAGGTAGGCGCAGGCTGGCATATCAGAGGTGGAGAATCCCATAGGGCCACATGAAGCTCTATATTTCAGATGCTGTTGTTGGAAGATGAAGAAGACACGTCTGCTGGGGACCTTGAATATGGCGCAGGAGACACGGAGTCTGTTTGGATTTGTCACAAGGGAGGAGTCAGTACAAACAAGCCGCTCCGTGGCCAGATGGTTACCCCGAGCAGGCGGCTAGGACATGAAACTGCATCTGTGTGTTCTCCTGTTGTGGAGCGGGAGCAACCACAGACCTTTGACCAAACCACCCTGACCTCAAGCTGCTGCCTCAACCCTCTTCTATTCCCAGGGTGAACCGGAGTACATACGAGAAGCTGAGTATCTCCAGCGTCACAGCGTCTTTAGCTCAGGGAGTGCTTGTGTTGCACACAAGGGCAGCACAGCACAGGCTGAAGAATTCGGGGTTTTTACCTCACCTCTGTACTAAACGGCACCTAAAAGCAGATTAACAACTGCCATATTCATTGGCCTCTATGGCTGGACTTGGGATCAATGTGCTCTGAAAGCATCAGTAAGGAAGCGAAGTCCTTTGTGCAAGCAGGGTGACAGATCCCAGCTGTGAAGCTGACGGTTGTGTGCACAGTGACACCGGGAGCACCTCTTCTTCCCTGTCTGTCTCAGCAAGAAAGCCAGGGGCCTCCCCAGCCTCTGTGCAGGAGGGATTCTGTGCCTATCTTGAGGGCCACCGAGCTCTTGTTTTCATATCCGTAAGAAAACAACTTAGGTCGCCCATACAAAGGGGTCAGGGAGTTGACACGGCATTTCTGGCTCCTGAGCTAGCACTTGCTAGCGATGTTACATGAGCAACCCTTGTTCCACTTGTCATTTCCACCACCATCCTCCCCTTCATCCCACTTCCCTCATGGTTCCCCTTCGGTTTTTCTCATCTTCCCTTTCATGCCTTTTCCACCCACCCCGTTTTCTCCTCAGAACCCTTCATGGCACCCCCACTTCCCTCATGGCTTCATGTCCCCCAGCCCCCTCTCGCCTCTCCATTCTCCTCACGTCCCCGCTCACGGCTCACCCCCAACCCCTGCTCGGTCCCTCACAGGCTCCCCCATCCCTTCAGGGTCCCCCCCTTCGCTGCCCCACACCGCGCCCCTTCCCCACCGGGCCCGCCATGGCGGCGGGCGCGGCACCCAACCGAGGCCTGCAGCGGGCAGCGGCCGGGCGGGAGGCGGGGGCGGTGGAGGAGGAGGGGCCGGAAGGGGATGTGACCGCCCGCCCCGCCGGCCGGGGACGGGGCTGCGCCGCGCCGGGGGTTCCGGGATCTCCCTCGCCGCCCGCAGCCGCCCCCCGCCAGTGTCGCTGCCCTCCCTGGCGGCACCCCCGGGGCACCCCCGGCCCTTCGCCCCTCTCCTCCTGCCAGGCCTGGAGGGCTCCCCTTGAGCCGCCCGGCCCCGCCGCCCCCAGCCCGGGCCCCCTCAGCACGTCCCGCCGTGGCCGGGCCGGGTTCGGCCCCGCTCCCGCTGCCCGCCCGGGCCTCGCCCTCCGCCGGCGTCCCCCGCGGGGATGCAGCCGGCCCGCTCACCCCCGCTTGACCTCTTCTGGCTGCTGTGCAGGAACCGGCCTCCTGGAGCGCGTCTCCGGCCTCGCTCCGCGGCTCCGGGCTCGCTCTGAGGCGGGCAGCAGGCCACCTGCGCCGGGCCCCAGCACTGCTTCGACGCCGCCATGACCCCCCGGGCCCGCTTGGCCTCCGGCGGGGTGCGGGAGAGGAGGTAGCGGCGGTGAGGGCGGCCGAGACCTGCGATGGAAGGAGGCGAGGCGTGGTGAGGAGCCCCTCGCCCTGAGGAGCCAGGCCCGAAGCTTCGCCTCGCTGGTGGACATGGTGCCGGTGTGCTTGATCCTGCTAGACTTCGGCGATACTTGAAGCCAAATACGTGGCTCTTTGGCCTTTGCTAACTCAATGCTATGCAAAAGAAAAGGAGGAAAAAAAAAAAGAAACCTTGACACTGATTGCAGTGGGAATGGCTGTTTCCTGCCCTGGGTGAGCCTACGTGTGGTTTCTTGCTTGTGAGATGAACTATTAATTCTCCTTTACCTGGTGGAAGACGCACTACACATGGCGACCTGAACCTTTGGTAGCGCTTGTTCGTTGTTAAGCAGTTGGAACTTTTACTTGTTTTCTTTGCATAAAGCCACCTAAGGAGCCTTGCTGCTGTCTTCAGAAGCATTGGAGAAACCTGCGCTTGTCTTAATTCTTCACCTCAAGTGACTTTATCACCCAGTGTGTGCACCCAGCGCACCCACCTGAAATACGTTTGTCTCCAAAGCTCCTTCCCAGCCTGCAAGATCAGGGATCACAGACTTCTTCGAACACTTCTCGTCCTGGGAAAGGCTGCCCATAGTTACTTTATGGGGCAGCAGCCTGGAAAAGTTCTTGGGGACCAAAGGAGGCCGAGTCTGCCTGCCCTGCACTTTATCAAGGGAGCAGGGAAGAAGGAGTCATCAAGGCATGGGGGCCCACACTGTAACGTCTTCGTCGAACATGGTAAGAGGTTTCTGTGGGTATTTCTTTTGGTTTAACTTTGATTTGCCGAGCTAGATGTGATACAGATCTACTGAAGGGCATGGTGCGGATACAGGGATGCTGTACTTTATGGAAGTCTTCTGTTTTCTCTCCCTTAATGCAAATCTTTTGTGATTGTTTAGTAAGAAAACACTTGGGGCAGATTGCTTGAAACCTGGGGCGAGATTATTGCAAAGCTAAATGTGACATACAAGGAAGTAACTTTTTAACTTTGTATAAGCTTCTCATTTCTGCCTTAGCTGTGTGCTGGTTTACAGTCTGGGAAGGTGTTTCATCCTTTTAGTTGCCTGTTCTGGACGTATAGACCAACCACAGTCGATGGGAATGCTGTGATCAGGGACAAGTGGCTTTTAATTATCTTTACAAAAGGGACTCTGCAACTTGGGGAAAAGACTTTTGCAAGGTTTGTGGCTATTGCTGCTTGAAACTGGTTGGAATAGAAGTTTCCTGTTGATTTGCTTCATGTGGTTACAGCACTTCTGGTTAGTGGTTTCTCAGAGTGATTTAAACCTTCATTTCGTGCAGTGATGGATTTCAGTGCTAGAGGATAAAGGTGGCCAAGTTAAGAGTGCAGCAACCCCTGTCACTTGCTGGTCTTCTGCAAGTTAACAGGGGACTGAGAATCTCAGGTAAGAAGCCAGATGAAAAGCTCAGTAGGACTCAGAGACAGGTTTAGTGATGGCTTCAAACGTTGCTTTATTTGTCTTTAAAAAGTAACCAAAGAAATTATAAACTGAAGGCATCTCTACCAAAGTGTGGCACAGAAATGCATTGTTTTGCTGAAACTTCTTGAAGCAATCCTTGCTTTTGCACAATGCTTTTTAAATTCTAATATTCCTTGAGAAGACGTGCTCCTGGCTGCTCTCTCCAGCTGGGGAACGGGGTTTTGCCAAACCTTTTTCCATAGTTTTTGTCCTGTCGAGGAAGTTTATCTGTGGACAAAACTGCATCTGTAATCTCAGCTAGAAACGGAAATATCTGCTGTGTCTGAGAGCACAGTGTAGTTAATGGCAAAGTTTTGATTTAGTTTCGTTTTAGCTGGGCTTTGCTTTCAAACTGGCTCTTATTCTGTGTTTCTAGAAGGGCCCAAGAAATCCCCTGCAGGGTTCAGCAAAGGCAAATCCTGTGTATGTACTCCTGCACTGACATACTGGTTTGAGTTCCAGCAGGGTTCTTTCTTTGAATTTCCCATACAATGTTTGTGCACTGAGGAAACTGAAGGTGATTAAGGGAAGGTTAAAGAACATAACTAACTTGTAATGAATGCAGCTAACTCGGCCCTCTGATGATGAACCCACCGCTGCATTTTCCCAAACCATGCTGTCAGTCCTGGAATACACCCGCTCCTCCACCCGCAGTTTGGTTGCTTCTTTCCCTACTTTGGACAGAGTTTCGAGGTCAGATAAGATGCAGCGAGAGCACTGGCTGCAAGCAATACAATATTAAACTACCTTTTGGTGTTTTGATGTAGCAGAAGAGCCAGAAATGCTCCTTTTTGATCATCCAACAGCAGTAGGCAGATGGTAACTTCTTGCCAGCATGACCTGAGGTCAGAAGATCCGAGCACTGTTGCAAAGAAAAATGGCGTCTATCATGTCCATACACCATATGTCCACAAGAGAGCTCAGTGTGTGATTTAGAAAAGAATAATGTTGAAAGGGGACATCAAGGCTAGGACATCTGTTAAAAGAACTGTAAAAGATCAGTCTCGCTTATCCACATGAGGAAGAGTTTCTTCCTTTGAGTGTATGGGATGGTTCTTCGAAGTACAGACAGAATCTGTACCGCTGTCGTTTGTTCAGCTCTTTTCTGAGTTTGGGTTGCTCATACCCTGAAAAATGCGATCTTAAAATGATGTGGAAAAATAAAAGGGGGAACCAAGTTAATTTTAGAAAGTTCTGTGTTTCTCTCTAGTTTTCTTGATAATTTCTTTGAAGTATACAATCTGACATACTTTATAATTGGTAGGACTGAAAACATTAAATACTATTCTGCCTATTCAGGTCTGGTGCCATGGGCTGTAGTTTGTAAAAATAGCTGGGTGTTTTTTCAGGGCTTGAATTCTTGCATGTTTGTTGTGCAGTATATTTTCATTACACAGTTTCTTCTAAATGCCAAACACTGTATCTGGCTTCTCTGTCACACTGTGCAAACTAGTTTGTCCCAGGAAAATAATGTTTCTTACTTTTCATAATTAAGAAATGCTTAAGGAGAAATTCCAGGGTGGACTTCTTAAAGTAATCCCCTCGGGATAGTCCAATTCTTGAAATAACTTCTTTGAAGTTCTTATATATTAAAACTCATGATTAAACAAAGAAAAAGCAGAGCTGGTAGTAGCGTGGCTCTCCTGTTATGGTTGTGTTTTGGTAAAGCCATTTCAGGACCCTGTTTCAGTGGCATCACTACCTGCTAAGTTCTACTGAGGCTCACTCAGCAGACCCTAAGCAGTGATTTTAGAGCATTGAAGACCTTCATTGCTCCAGTGGTACTGAGTCTTAGCTGAAAGGGTTCGTGTTAGCAGATACTAACAGTATAAGGCAGAATAACTTTCAGGCAAGTAATTCTGTTTCTTGGTCGTCGCACTCTTTGTGGCACTCAAAGCAATGCATCGAGAGCTTCTGAAAAGCGAGGAGGCAACTGGCCAGAAGTCGGCTCTGCTGGTGATCAAATGTGCTGTGAGAATAATGCAGAAAGGCTCTAAATTGTGTCATGAGTTGACAACTGAGGAGTGCAGTAAGGGGGGAAAAAATAATCTATGGGCAAGTTTGGTTCTTCTGTCTTTGTGTTGCTGCTTTTTCCACCAAGGGTGTTTTACAAGCTGGAGTTCATGCTGGTGTGGTTTCCCTGGGCTGCAGAGCAGGCCCTGATGGGATTTTTACAGATTTCATCTTGACACAGATTACTTCATCTCTTAGACTGCTTGTAAGCTTGAAATTGAGAGCAAGTACAAAGGAAATGTTTGTGTCTACCCCTGTGCTTTTCTCAGCTGCGAAATGAGTCTGTAGTCGCTGCTTTTTGGGTCCATCCAACTGAGAGAAAAGCTGTGGTCAGTAGACAGTTAGTGGGAAAGACTTTGTCAACACATTTCAAAGTTTGTGTGCTCAGGTATCTTGTGCCTTTCTAGAGCATGAACCTCAGCAAAACTCATATTTCTGAAAAGAAAGGTGTATTCCCACAGGGCTCAACTCAGATCCTGGAGTTTGCAGCGTTTGACTGGAGTGATCGGCAAACATTATGCCTTCTCTAACTCTTGGGTAGGCGTTGCTGTGCTGAATGGTAAGCAGATTCCCTGAAGCATCTTGGTAGAACAGTACCTCCAAGTAAAAGCAGCACTTGAAGGCTTACAAAATGAATTTGAATCATTAGACCTGAGATGCTGAGGTGAAGAGAAGATGCTGGGATATCTCTTCAGTGAGGTGATGGTGATGGATTTGGTCCACAGCTTTGAATTCTGTTTGCTGTCCTGTTGCTGCTATGGTCAGCAGCACAGCTGTGTTCGGAGAGGTGAAATCCTGAGCAGTGTCTTCACTTGTCAAGCCAAGAGTTTTATACATGTATTCCTTGCTGTGTAAATCGTGACAGTGATCAGGAATGGGGCCATCTTTTCATGGGCACATTGGTGGGAACTTAAGTGTAGGGTTTTTGATTTAATAATGCAAATTTATGGTAAATATGTTGATATATATATAGGTCTTTAAAATGATGCTACAGATGTATGTATTTGCTGTCATTGGTGCTAGTTTTGCTGTGGCATTCAGAGAAATTATGTGGGAGGAAGAAGAAACCTTCTAAAGAGGTTTTCATTATGAGATGTTCTTATATGCTGCTGCTTGTTATATAGAATGGATCACTGATGGATAGCAACCTGGTCTTACAACATTTTTGTAGTTTTGTGGTGTTTGAGTCATTCTGTAAAGTAATTACAGCTATGGCTAACTATAAAGAAGGAACTTTGTTTTTGAAAGTGTTACACCTTTACACTACCAGGAAGAAGCAGTTGTTGAGCTTTATTTTAAGTACCTTTAGAATATACTTAATAAAGTACTTGCACAGGAATTTTCTTTTCTCAGTTTCTTGTAGTGATAAAATGTGGTCTTTGTGATAGCTTCTCTTCCAGCAGATAAGTGATAGGGAAGCATAAACAAACTGTTTACCTTGCCGTAGAGACAGACTTCAGGAACTGGATCCATTTTTCGTATTCCTTTAATGCTGAGTATGTACCTTATACCTTTATAGCTGAAGTCAGCCTACTACAGTCTCTTTCATATTGGGTCTGAACTCTTTCCTTACAAGGGTGCTGAAAGTTTTAATTAGGCTGTAATTGGCCAAATCAGATCTATAGCATGAGCCTGCCACAGCTGCTAGTTGCAGAAATGCCCCATGACATTCACTAATAGACAAAAATACCAATTAAAAGTATATTTTCCTGTATTATTGGAAAATTTATTTTTAAGAGTCTTCAAGTTTCATAATCTATCTTATTTTTGCTGTTAAATTTCATGTTTCAACTGTCTGGATTGTGAAAGTGAGTAAATTACTTTATAATTGGTTTCTTCATCAGGACTTAGTGATTGACCAGCATATACAGGTACATACTACAGTATATGCCGTTATAATTACATTGGCGTCTGTTATTTTTATGAAATGCCAATTGTTTCATACCATATTTTATCTTATTTCTTTTGTTGTAAAGTCTTACTAATAACTATGGCTTTGGATATACTTTTTTTCAGCTGGGCTGTCCAGGGCACGTTGTGATCTAGCAGTACTATATGATTTTGTACTCATTATCCTTTACCCATCAGATGAGCTCAATAGATCTTCTTTATATGCAATATACATTTATTAGGTAGTCAATTGTTCATACATAGAAGTGATTTCAGTGAGATTCCTTCCATACTAGAATTCTGTTTCTTTAAACCCGGGTAGTTATAGACCCTGCATTTATCTCTTTCCATTGT